AAGAAAATATTAACTTGAAATGGCTCCAAAGACATGGCTGCCTTAATATGAGTAAACGAGTTGACTCAGTTAAAGGAAAACACAAGTCCTGGAGTGCCAGCCGAGAGATTCAAGGATCAAGTCCTAGAACAGGAGATTTTTTTAAACTTTTTTGTTGAAATTTTTAGCTTGTATTTTAAAAAGAAAAAAAATAGCTCTTTTATTTTGTATGGTATTTGAATATTTAGGTTTTTGCGTATGAAATTATTTCACAATTTGTAATTTATATTTGAGTTGAAATAATTGACTTACCTTACTCTAACTACATCCATCCGGACTAGAATCTGCGATCTCAGAATTAGAAGCATTAATCTTCACGCGACGCCATAGCCGACATTTGCCAGGAAGGCAATTGACTTTGTCTTAACAGCACTGAAAAAATTATTACTTATATTGAGTAAATTTACTTCCTCAAATTAATGACGAACTATGGTTGAACTGAGTTAATTTTTCATAGTTTAAGGAAATAAGTTAATAGTAAAAGCAAATATTTTTAAAGCAAGCTTTCTAAATAAGAACCAAATCGGACTATATATACGGGTTTTTCAAATATCTGGACTCCTGCGCCACCTATCGGATTAACTAATCTTTCGTATTGCAATGTCATCGGCTTCTGAGCTAACTGTGAAGTTTCAAGTCTCTAGGTCATTGGGAAGTTGGTCAAAAATTTATTGTAAGATTTGCCCCTAAAAACCATTCATATGTATGTACATTAGGGTGGTCTAAAAAAAAGTAAAGTCGGAAATTTAATGCTCTCACCCCCTAGGATTGTTCTATACCGAAAAAAATATACCCCTGTTTTTTTATTTTAAAATCAAAATATATTTAGAGGTCGCTCAAAGCGCTCAAAGTTTCCCATGTATTTTGTATGGGGAAAAAAAGACTTTTCGTAGAAATGGCATAGAATCCATGGAAATCAAAATTTTTCAATCTGAAAACTCTGCTTCTCTTCAGAAGACTTCAGAGAATAATGCCCAATTGTTTATTTAAACAGTTTTTAATTTTAACTATTTTTTAAGGGTCTCCGAAATGTCCCAAAAATAAATCAAATATACAAACAGAAATATTCAAAAGAAAAAAAGAAAAAATAGTTTAATTTAAAAAACGTTTAAATAAACAATTGGGCATTATTCTCTCAAGTCTTCTGAAGAGAAACAGAGTTTTCAGATTGAAAAATTTTGATTTCCATGGATTCTATGCCATTTCTACGAAAAGTCTTTTTTTCCCCATACAAAATACATGCGAAACTTTAAGCGCTTTGAGCGACCTCTAAATATATTTTGATTTTAAAATAAAAACAAATAAGAGCAGCGCTGTCTTCGGCTATGCCGAAGGCTTCATACCTTTCATGAACATCTGCAAATTTTAGTTTGACAGATTACTGATTTTGAATACATCTGCATACATCGATAGA